GAGGGGTGTGGTCAGGTCTCCCCTTGAGTTATGTAGAACACAGGAACAATTTTTTAAAAAGGTGATTTCACCTGCCTCAGAAATACCTCATCTTTCTCCATGAGTTTATGGAAAAGGGAAATAGGAAATTTTGTGATTTCGCATTTATTTTAACACAGTTCAGGCGCAGCTATTCCATTAACTTCTATTTGCAGCTACAGTCGCTCTTGAGCTTAGACGCAGCTTTTGAAATAATAACCCTGCAGGCCCTGCGTTCGCAGCCAAGCTGCACCGATGTCATGAAAGAAATGCGCGTTAGTCTCGCTTAGCTAGAGAACATTAATAAGCAAATGGCGTTTTGGGAGAAGAGACTTTAAAATGAGAATGGGAGAGGTGTTTGCATTGACGAAGGGCCCTCTGTCCCCGGCTTTTGTGAGGGTGTGAACACGCTGGCGGACTACAGCAGGCGGTAGTTTCTGAGCGCACGGATCACGGGCTGCAAAAACATCACCCATTTGCGAAAGTGTGGGACGAGCCTGATATTGGTGAAGGGTGATGATTCTCGCACCTCCCGGGCGCTGGAGCGCATTCTGCGGAGCTCCTGCCTTCTGCCACCGAGCAACACCTCGGCGGGCTCCTGGCTGTGAATCTTTCCGCCTCGCAAATCCCCCCCCCCCCCGGGACTCCGCTGCCAGCAGACACGCGTGTCTCCTCCCCGCGACACCCCGGCTCTGCGCTGCGCCTTTTGGAGGCACGTGCAGCACAGTTCTGGCCCGAGAGCTCTGAGCTCGTGATCTGCTGCGTTGTACGGGAATACACACCACGCTTTTCTGGAGCCGGGCGGCTTCGGAAATTGTCCGTTTAGTGCTTTTTAATTTGTCTGTTTCCTTTCTATCCATCCGACCATTTCACCGTTCTTGCATATAAATGCTGCATCGCAGCAGAGCCTGCAGAAATTCCTACCCGGTGATACACGATCTTAAGGGAACCAGGCTATCAAAAGTAAACACCTGAAGTATTAAAGGTGACACCTGGACAAGGCTCCAAGACCGAAACATTGTGTTTTCTTTCTTCTATTTTCAGCATGGAGTAAACCTATTGTTCCTTGTCAAAGGTATATTTTTCTTCGGCAGTGAGTGTGCATAAATGGGTCCAAACACTTTTTTGTTTTTTTTTCCTACCGAGCCCGTGATATGAAACATGCTTGTATTCGTTGTATTTATAAACTTTCCGGGTGAGAGTCTCCTTCGGGCTCGGGGTTCAGCCGGATTGCTCGTGCATAACACGGGGGGGCTGTGACGTCGCGACGCGGATGCTGGTCGAAGCCCCGCTCCCCCCGCGGCGCGAGGCGGGCTGGCAGATGGCGGCCGGCTTGGTTAAGTCGCCGCTGCGCTCGCATTCCTCTCCTGCTCGCGGAGCCTCGCGAGCGGCACCTGCGCCGCGCGGGGCTCTCGTCTCCGGGCGGGTCGATGCGCGTCGATACACGATACGTCTTCCTGAGCATAAAGGAAATTCAATACCCCCCTCGCCAGTTCACTCTCGATTACTGATCGGATTTGTGCCTCTAGTTTTACTAATGATGACGATGAAATAATAGATTTCCCCCCGAAAATAGTTTAAATTACTTTGTTTTGCAAGATGCTGTTATTTCTTTTGTAGATTCTCTTTACTCTTTAAACGATTTTTGCTTTTTTGGTCCCAGCAGCTGCCGCGTACGAGTTGTTTAGAAGCCGATGTAAATGTTTCCAGCAGTTAGCTCGGTGTTACTGACTAATGCGTCTGTGTTCTGTCAGTTCATGTCACCTTATTTTA